ATGCTCTTGCCAGAGGAGGGTGTGGAGGGGATAAAGGGTGAAAGCACCCTCTAATGGGGTATGGTCCTGCTGTGATCTCTTCTCCATCCTGTCCAGACCTGGGGCATACAAACATACCCAGTGTGTTTTTAAAGCCACCAGCGCCAGGATTCCAACTGTGGTTGGCCATGTAGGATCTGGCTCCCTTAACCACTAGGCCAGCCCCAGGGCAAGTACTGTTATGTTCATATGTGTCTATCTATTCCCACAATTTATCACAGCATTTAAAGGGTTTATACAAAGAGCACAGAATTTGAGTCCATTGACTCCATAGCTCTGTGATCTCAAGGATTTTTAAAAATTAATTTTTAAAAATTTATTTATCATTATAATTCTTCAAATTGACCAGAGAGACAGAGAGAAAGAGAGGAGAGCAAGAGAGCAAGCCACCAGGTTCGAGACTTGAACCACAGTTGGCCATGTGGGAGTCCAGCACCTTAACCACTCCACCACTTGCTAGCCCCTCAAGGATATTATTTAATCACTCACTCTGACTCACTAAAAGCAACTTCTTGTTCTTCAAGCTTCACTGATGGTAAGTGTTCTATAAAGGTGTATCATTTTGTATCTTTTTTATATAATTTTAAAAAGTTTATTTCTTCCATGAGTAAGAAAGATACCCAGAGAACCAGAGTGTATTCCTAACAGAGTCTGGACACAGTGACACACCCCGCCCCCCCACCTCCACCACCCCCAGTTTCAGCTAGCTCCAGATCACGGACAAGTGAGTGGTCAGCATACTCAAGGAGTCTCTGAACTTGGAACCTTTCCAAAGTGGCTCAGCTCCACAGAGTGTCCTGGCTCCTCCATTTTGTACCCTTTATACTGTATTTCTGCTCTACCTTTTCTATGTTTAAGTATGTTTAGATACACATACACTCACCATTGTGTTATCACTGCCCACAGTATTCAGGAGAATAACATGCTGTACACATTTACAGCCTAGGAGCCACAGACTATAGCCTAGATTGTAGTAGAATATAACATCTAGGTAAGCAAACTCTATAAATGATGATTGTATGACAATAAAAATGCCTAATGACACTTTTCTCAGAATGTATTCCTACGGTTAAGTGATGCATGATTGCAATTAAGTTTTTAAATGATGCCGATTAGTTCTGACACGACTTCATTAAAAATGTTTATTTAAAAATTTGGGAAATATACTCCCATAAAAAATAATGTAATGTAGCTCTTAGTTAATATTTCAAACCAGGAAGTCATTTTCTCACATGACAGAAATATATTCTGTATTATTAATCACCACGAACTGAAATGGGAAAATTTTAGCCTATTATTTAAATGTGCTTATTAACATGAGTTTTTCAAGTCTTTTTTTTTTTTTTTTTTTCCTGGTTTAATTCTCTCATTTGAGGAGGGAGGTTTTGAGGATTTTTTATTCCTTGACTGAATTATATGACCTGACAAAGAATAGTCTCTAAGTAATTAAATAAAACCCTACAAATGCACAGTGGTACTCTGTATAAAATAGAAAATAAGTAATGAATTTGTTAGTTAGGAAGAAAGCTACAGGGGCCCACAGATGCTGTAGTGGTTATGTTGCTGGACTCCCACATGGTCGACCATGGTTTTGAGTCCCAGACATGGCTTGAAAATCACGCAGGGCACACGTGCATGGGTGCTCAAGATCCCGGAAAAGGAATGGAGGAGAAAGGACTGCGGTATGGCCATCTTCCCTGGTGGGGATGATTTCTCACTTTCCCTGTCTATGTCTCTGTCTCCAGCAAGCACATGTTCTCAAAAATAAAAAATATTAAAGAGTATTTCTCTTTTAAAAATTAAAAACAGTAATTTTGGCTATGTTTATATTTAAAAGAAAATCAAGTTGCACAGAATCAGGAACTTGAGCAAAATCAGATTTATTTATTTATTTATTTATTTATTTGTTTATTTATAGATTTTTGACATAGGGCATGTGTGCTCACCAAACAAAGACAACGGGACATAAGAAAATTGAGAAATTGCTCCCCAGGAAAGATGGTCATGCTGCAATGTCTTCTCCATTCTTCTCTCAGGATTTTGGGCATGTATGCACATTCTCCTGGTGTGTCTTTCAAGCCACTGGATCTGGGACTTGAACCGCGGAGCAAACCAGGTGAGATCCAGCACCTTAACCACCACATTACCTGCTGGCCCCCAAACCAGATATTTTATGGGACCAGCAGATTGCATGATTACATCGCTAGACTCTCACATGGTCAACTGCAGTTTGAGTCCCAGACCTGGTGGTTTGAAACTCATGCTGGGCATATGTGTGTGCATGCCCAAAAACCTGAAAGGAAAATGCGGTGTGGTCATCCACCCAAGGTGTGACTTTTCCCTTTCTGTCTCTGTCTCTCCAGTGAGCATGCACGCCCTAGAGCAAAAATCTCCCTACAAAAAAAAAAAAAAAACAAAAACCCCAGATACTTAACATATGATCTAAATAGAGATAATAAAATAGAATTTTTTTTTTTTTGGAGAGATTTTCGCTATAGGGCGCGTGTGCTCGCCAGACAGACGGAGAGAGGCATTAGAGACAGAAAGTGAGAAATCACCCCCCAGGGGGGATGGTCACGTCGCAATCCCTTCTCCTCCATTCTCCTCTCGGGATCTTGGGCACGCATGCACATGCGTCTGGCATGAGTTTTAAGCTACCAGGTCCGGGACGCGAACCGCGGTCAACTACGTGGGAGTCCAGTGACATAGCCATTACGCTAACTGCTGGTTCCCCTCAAAATAGAAATTTTTAAAAAAGAATTATTTATTTATTTATTTATTATTTATCTTTCAATTTGACCAGACAGAGAGAGAGAGATGCCAGGTCTGGGACTCAAACCATGGTTGGTCATGTGGGAGTCTAACACCTTAACCACCACACCACCTGCTGGCCCCAGCAAAAATGAGTTTTGAATTCAAGACAAGATTGTTTTGTAAAGAAAATCTGAGGTTAGCCAGTTACATGCTGGTTAAGGCAGGAAAATATTATGTATCTCATGATGAAAATGTTCTAAAACTGGATTGTGGTAATGGTTGTACAATGCCATACATTTTACTAAAAATAACTATACTTAAAACAAATGAATTCTGTTGTATATAAAATTATAGTTCAATAAACTTGTTAAAAAATTGTGTGCTTATAGAATAAATGAATGTCATTCTCTCTTTCCTCAACATCCGAGATGTTTTATCTAAGCTTAGAAGCATTAAATTTCCTGAATACAGTAGTGTTCACTGTATGCTAGCTGATGATTTTACAGCTTCTAAAGCTTTGACCTACCTAGGGTCAGCACTAGGAGGTCACAGCAATGCCCTGACATTAAGCTAGTAAAAGATATTCTGGGGAGCAGGAGATGGCATCATGGTTATATAGCTGGACTCCCACGTAGTCAACTGTGTTTCGAGTCCTGGACTCAATGGCTGAAACTCACATCTGGCATGTGTGCACATGTACCCCAAATCCCGAGAGGAGAATGGAGGAGAAGGGATTGCGGCGTGACCATCCCACCTGGGGAGTGATTTCTCGCTTTCTGTCTCTATGTCCCTCTGGAAAGCACACACGCCTTATAGCAAAAATCTCTCTCTCGAAAAAGATATTCTGTGGCAGAACATACAGAAAAACCTACACATAATTCTGTCCTTCAACAGTGGCATATGGTAGTACTGCTTGGTTCTGGGAATACACTGAATGTAATTTTGACCGCAGAGAGAGATACTTTCCTTTTCTTAAAAAATAATTATTTTTTATTATTATTATTTTAATTTGCCATAGGGCACATGTGCTTACCAGGAAGAGAGAAAGTGAGAGAGAGAGAGATTGGAGGGAAGCAAGAAAGGAAGCTGCCAGGATTGGACTTGAACCCTGGTCAGCCATGTGGGAGCCCAGGGCCCTATCCACCATACCACCTGCTGGCCTGAGAAATATTTTTAATATAGTGTGGTAAGTTCAAACACAGTGATTTTATAGGGGTCAGGAGTTTATGAAAACATAGGAGAGAGTCATTTATCACAGCCAGAAGGTAGGGTGGGAAATGTCAGAGAAAATACTGCTAAAGCGTTGACATCTACATTGAAACTTAAAAGGAAGGGTATGATTTACTCAAGAAAGAAAATGAGTATACTAAGCAAAGGGAACATTAGTATGAGCAAAGAAACAGAATAACAAAACAAAATGTTATGAAGAGAAAAATTATTATCAATTTGGCATTACTTACATAATGGTTGAAGGTAACGATGGATAGGAAATAAAATGGCAAAAAATGAAAATAGAATTTTCCATAAAGCTCTACTGACTTAAAGACTTTTACTTTAACCCTCTGTTGAACACCTTCGAGTAAAAAATTACTTGTCTGTAAATGCTACAATTCTAGTACTACTCTATGTGATATGTAGCCCTGAAGAATTAAATTGGTTAAGTTTTTGGGTGACCCATCTTATGAAACAAATGGACAATGTGAAGTCTCTATATTTTCCTGCCTTCTTCCTTTCCAAAATACCTACTGTAAATATTGTTCAAACATAAGCCGCTTCCTAAGGATAAAGTAACTGGAGTTATATGTTCACAACAAGCAACACGTCATTACTGACAGTAAATAACTGCTTTCATTGATCAGTCTTGCCATCAAATTCAATAAGAAAAACTTACTTTTAAAGCAATTCATTGGGGTTATAGTTAGAGTATGCTTAAGTTTATAGCTTTGAGATCATAAATCCTGCAATCACCATTAAATACAATAGTTAACTTGTGCATAATCTGAAAAGTTTGACAACTCTCTTTTTTTCCCCAAAATAACTATGTTACATTTGTATTTTTTCACTGTTTGAAAAATGCCTGCTAGTTCATGAGGCCTGCTGTCGATAAATGGAAGAAAACCTTACCCTAGAGAAAAGAATATCCATGCAATTACCATATAATATGTTTTTCAATTTAGTAACCCAGGCCCTACTCAAAGAGCACTTACCTGCTTTACATTGTATCCTGCTTTTGCGCTAGTTTCAATAAACATAACATTCAGCTCTTTGGCTTTCCTCTCTCCTTCCTCAATTGACACTTGCCTGTGGAAAAATTTCAAAATGATAAATTCTTATTGTTGAAAAATGATACTAGAAAAATTATGAACTTCTGGGGCCAGCATGGCACAGGGGTAATGAATATGTTGCTCAAGGAAAGCTGGATTCCACAATGTGATCATGGTTTGAATCCTTGGCCCAGTCAGCCTGAAGCATTCCAGGCATTTATTATTCAGGTATCCAAGATCCGATGGGCTGGAGGACGGGAAGAAAGGGATTATATCGTGATCAGACCCTATACAACGTCTGTCTGTCTCTTTGTGCATGCACACATGCTTTATTATGAATAAAAAATAAAGTTCTGAAAATAACTTTTCTTGAAATAGGAGCTAGTTACACAAATGAATTAGAAAACTCACTAATCTGTAGTACACTTAAAATTTGTATACTTCTGGGGACCAGCAGGTGGTGTAGTGGTTAAGGTGCTGGACTCCCACCATGGTTTGAGTACTGGACCTGGTGGCTTGAAAATTATGACGGGCATGTGTGTATGCAAGTCCAAAACCCTGAGAGGAGAACAGAATGTCACGCTGCCATGCCCACTTGGGAGAGGGATGATTTCTCATATTTCCTCTCTCTGGTGAATGCATGAACTCTATGGCAAAAGCCTTAAAAAAAAAAAAAAGTGCATTTCTGTATGTTTACTTAACTACAATACTTTTTAGACACTTGTCATTGATTTGCTTTTACTTGCCTGAACTCATCCTGTGTTATTTATTTTTAAAAACTTAAGATTCATGGGAACCAGCAGTTAGTTAGTGTAATGGCTATGTCGCTGCACTCCCACATAGTCGACTGCGGTTCGCGTCCCGGACCCGGTGGCTTAAAACTCACGCCAGGCGCGTGTGCGTGCCCGCCCAAGATCCCGAGAGGAGAATGGAGGAGAAGGGACTGCGGTGTGACCATCCCTCCTGGGGGGTGATTTCTCGCTTTCTGTCTCTATGTCTCTCTCTGTCTGGCTGTCTGGCGAGCGCACGCGCCCTATAGCGAAAAAATCTCTCAAAAAAAAAAAAAAAAAAAACCTTAAGATTCAGTGGGCCAGCAGGTGGCGTGGTGGTAAAAGGGGCTGGATTACCACACGGCTAATCGTAGTTCTAGTCCCAGACCTGGTGGCTTGCTTTCTCCCTTTCCCTCTCTCTGGTCAAACAAAACAAAACAAAAACAAAAAAACCCCACACAAATGGAGTTAAATAAATAAACAATTCTTTAAAATAATAGTCTGCCTCTTTCTCTTTTCCTTATTATTACACTACAAACATTTAATATTGTGGTTCAAAACTTCATGTAAAATAATTTTTATAATTGGAGACTCATCAATTTTCTAGTATAATTTATACTGATATAACCATTCACAAGCTGTTAAAATGCAGTTGCTTTCAAATTTTACACTACTATGAGGATGGTGGCCCAAAAGTAAATTTACCACTTTGCAAGACTGACCCACACAAAAAGGTTGCTAGAACATGGCCCGCCACCTCCCTGAGTATGCTGGGCACACACTTGCCCATGGTCCAGGCTAACTGGGACTGAGGGATGGATTGGAGTATTTGTTCCAGGTGCTGTATCTGTCTTTCTCACTTGTGTAATGAATGAATAAACTTAAAAAAAAAAATTATACTACTACGAAAAAGAAATGCTCCTTTAAGCGTCTTAATATTTTCGGTACTGTGGATGATTTCCTACATTGGGTTTTGTGAATTTCTGTAAGTGAAGCAAGTGAGTCAAAGACATGTACAATAAAGCCTCCTTTATTGCACAAAATATTAGTACTTTAACATTTGTTTTATGGGTATTGGGTGATACATTATAATTAGCAGTGTGTCTCAAATTGTGAGCTCTTCAAATGCAAGATTATCTCATTTACCTTGCTATTTCTAGTGTTTAGCTGGCATGTATATATTCAATAAACATGCAAATATTTTAATTAAACAGCTCTAAACTATCGGTTGACAAGCCCTTCTTCCTATGACAGAAAAGTGAGCAATAAGGGCCATCAGATGGTGTGGCGGTTGGGGCGCTGAAATTCCCACATGGCTAATAGCAGTTCAAGTCCCGGACCTGGAGGCTTGTTTTCTCTCTCTCTCTCTCTCTCTCTGTGTTTCTCTGGCAAAACTTAAGCAAAAAAGTAATAAATAAATAAATAAATAAAATAATTCTTAAAAAAGAAAGAAAAGTGAGCAATGGAAGAGAATGTGTACAAGCTCCCATTGCATCTGTCAATCAATATATCTTCCAATCACACCTGCATGTGTGCCCTTATATTCTATTTCTAGTCCTACTACTTTGGAGAAACTATACTTACCCCTAAAACTTTTATCTATGTATTAGATCCTAATCCCTTGTCTATAAGAAGGTATTATTTTGGATATTTACTGTCTAAAAATAAGGACGATCTCTTACTTAACACCTCAACCGCTAACATTTTATTCTGTTTTACCCTCCCATTCTCTCTGTATATGTACGTACACAAATTTTTTTAAATATAAATTTTTTCCTTAACATTATGAAAGCATATTGCCAATATGCAGCCCTTCAGTCCTAAATACTTTAGCAGGGTAAAATTCCTAAAACCAAAAACATTCTCTTATATAACCACAGTATAATTACTAAAATTTGGAAATTAACAGGGCTAGCAGATGGTGTAGTGGTTAAGGCACAGGACTCCTACATGGTTGAATATGTTTCAAGTCCCAGACCCAGCAGCTTGAAACTCACGCCAGGCACATGGGTGTGCAAACACAATCCTGAGAGAAGAATGGAAGAGAAGGGACTGTGACATGACCATCTCCCTTTGGGAATGACTTCTCACTTTCTGTCTGTCTCTGTCTCTCCAGAGAGTGTAAGCACCTTACAGCAAAATTCTTGCAAAAAAAGTTTGGAAATTAACATCAGTAACATTACATCTACAAATTTTACTTAGGTTCTGACAATTATCTATTTACTAAAGGTTTTTATTGATTTAATTTTAATCATCTATTATTATTTTAATTCAGCAGAGAGACAGAGAGAGAGAAAGTGAGAAAGCAGGCTGCTAGGTGCAGAATTTGAACCGTAGTTGGCCATGTGGGAGCCTAGTACCGTAACCACCATGCCATATGCTGGCCCCCGACAATTACCTTAAAAATGTCCTCCACAGAAAACGAAACACTTTTTTTTAAAGAGAAATTTCTCAAATATCCTGAGGTACTCATACAGGAAAAGGAAGGAAGGAGGGAGGAAAGAAATAATCATGTTAATCTCTAGCATCTTCCAAGGGTGACCAAGAAGCTTTCCCCCTATCATTACGATTCATAGATTTTTTTTTTTTTTTGCTATAAGGTGTGTGTGCTTGCCAGAGAGACAGAAAGCAAGAAATCAATCCCCTGGGGGGTTGTCCACGCCACAATCCCTTCTCCTCCATCCTCCTCTCAGGATTTTGGGCACACACACACACACACACA